CAAGGCCGAGCGCGCCGGCCGCGACGTGCGCACCAGGGCCCGGCGGCGCCCCGCTCCCGCTGGGCGCTTCCTCCCGGAGCTGAAGGAAGCGCCGCAAGCCCGCAGGGAGCCAAAGACCTCGCGCGGAGGACCAGGCAAAAGAGGCCGACTCCCGCGCTTCACCGCGCTGCGCGTCCCTAACTCGGCCCCAGTCGGCCTTACATCTCGGCATCTCTTAAATTCTTTGATTACGTGGGTCCAACAGGGTCCCCGAGCAGGCAGAACCAGTCGCACTTGCCCAGGTCACTGCAGGAATCCAGGGCACGGTGACCCGGGACGCCTGGGCTGCCTGGGTTCCAGGCCCGCCTCCTGGGAGCTGCCCGCCTCCCTGGACAGGTGCCATCTGTGGGGCACAACTTGTGGTCAGCACTCAGAAGCCCACCAACTCTTGTTTGTAAATGAGACATTTGGATGGTAGCTTCATCTGATGAGCCAGGAATACCTGGTGTGGAGGAATTTGCAGGTAAGAAGTACTTCAGTAACATACCCCGCTAGGGAACTGCAGAATTCTGTTAAAGGAAGCATAAATAAATTTAGTTGCTGACGCGAAGACAAAAAAAGAGAAGTAGTAATGGAAACAAAAATCGAAGAAACTGTACATAGCATTCACCTTTTTTCTAGGTGTAGCTTGATCCAGTGGGTGGAGTGGAGCAGGGCTGTAGCCTGTGCCACACGGGTGCACGAGAATAGCGGGTGACGCACCATCATAGCGGTGAACTCCTACGTTAGCTCTGTAAGTGAAAGGCTAGGGTTACCCTGCTGGTGTTTGAGCTCGGGTTTGTCTGACTTCAGGATTATCCTGCTTCTGTAGGCGAACTCCGGGCGTCCAGGGGACCTTGAGGTGATTTCCCAATGCTGGGAACCCGCCTGTGGCCCCTAAGGGTTCCCCAAATCGTCTCCTTCCCCACCCACGCTGCACGTACCGGGCTGACTGACCAGGCTTGGTTCCTGGCGTGACCACATTTGTTTTTCACTCAGTGTCATGACCTCTCAAGTTCAGAAGTTGAAGTCCTCAACCCCATATGTTCGTACTAGCGCGCAGGGCCTTTGAGGGGTAAGTAGATCCTGAACTCAGTCCCCTTATAAGAAGACACAAGAGCGCTTGCTTTTTCTCTGTTTTCTGCCTTGGGAGACTTAATTACCTCCCCAGGGCCCACTTTCTACCTCCATCGCCTTGAGGGTTAGTGTTCAGCGTCGGAGCTGCGGAGAACACAAACCTTCAGAATACAGCGGGCAGGGTACTTTAGCCGGAGTATTCTTAGAGACGTCCCTCTGCTGTAACGTGTGGAATGGTTTGGACGCCCTAGAATGAGTGCTTGGAAGTTCAGCGAGACCTGGAATGACCCAGGCAGTGCGGCCGGACGTCCTGCGGCTCTGATAGGTCATGATAGCACCACCTTCCGTGATGGAGACGTTCAGGACTAGCAAGTTCGGGAGGACGCTCTTGAGTTCGTCAGGTAAAGAATGGTACACAGTAGATGGAGTTCTGCAAGGCGCTAGGGCGACTGCGCAGTATGCCGCCGTGTGTGTGTATGGAGCACAGGCCATGGCGGTGCTGCATTAGCTTGGAGTTGTAGCAGACTTCCCAGAGTATCCTAATACTGTTATCTGCCTGGGGAGAAGAGTCGCCGTTATTTAGGGGCTGCCACCAGCAGTGTTCCGCCTGCTGTCCCAGCCTGCCCTGCATGGTCCGTATTAACCCCCATTTCAACACGGCTCCTAATACAGAAATCTAGTGGGTAGGCGCGTTCCAGGGGACCAGCTTTCCAGGGGAGCTGGTGCCCTCGCTCTAGATGAAAGCCCTCTGACTCACGTCCCGGTGTGTATACAGCTACTCCTGCCTAGTGATATAATACAGATATATGGAAGAGATCTGACATATATAAAAAAAGAAATAATTAAAAGTTTATGAAGCCTCTTTAAGGATTAATCTTCCTCGTTCATTCATTAAACATTTTTATCATTGATTGTACACTTACTACATGTTAGGCTACACATTCAACCCTGGAGATAAATAGACTCGATTTAATGTCTTGAAAAGCAGTTGAATGAGGTTCCACTTTGACAGAAGTTTATCTGCCTAGGTAAGTTCAAAGTTAGTAACCTGACATCGATGTCTAAAGCAGAAGCTTACAAGTAGGATGTAAAATTGGGTGTGAACTCCCAGGGAATATGAGCAGAAAATGCTATAATCATCTTATGTATGTTTTCATGTTATCACTGTTAATTTATAGTTTTGAGTATGTAATATAAGGTGTACGGCACACTAGTAGGAGAGTGTTTCTGTATAATTTATAAATAAACATGCATTAGGGGCTTATAGGCTAATATTTTATGAGTTGACTTAAATGTGTTTAATTCGCTTAAAATACATTCATGCAGTCATTCCCAGATCATACCAACAGCGGTTTTTCTAGAGAACATATATACCTCATTTATGTAGAAGTATCACCTTAGCAATTCCCAGACCCAAGATCTAGAAACCAGAAAATTACCCAAACTGCCTAAATATCTCAAATAATTCTCACGACCTTCACCAAGGAGCAAGACAGAAGCTGCTGTCTGTCTCAAATCTCACTTGTTCTTTTGTGAATATACACCACCAAACAGATGTTATTTTCTATTTTTTTCCTTCACAACGTATTAGAAGAGAATTTGGGGTATAGGCCTTTTGAGACGCGATTAGCTAAGGGATCTATTAGGTCAGTGAGAAATGACAGCAGCAGAAATGACAGCCGACAGACAAGAAAGACACGAGAAAATAAACATGTCATAACTGTGCCTCTGCGAATTCAGCTCAGTGGAAGGGTCAGTGTGGTATTCCTAATGAAGACCTGCATCATTAAGGAAAGATCGGGTGACTGCGGGGAGTATATTCTGTTTTTTCAGGAATTCTGTCAATATTTTCACAGTTTAGGAAAAATGCCATTGAAAATGTTCACATTTTAAAGGTAGTGCTGTTGGAAGGAGTCAAGTTCACAGAATGACAGGCTGTTAGTAGGACTGTTTCTGAGCAGCATTCTTTTTAAGGTGTCGCCCCCCCCCTACTTCTGAGTGCTAAGACAGTCAAGTGGACAGGTGTCTGAATCCCATTCTTCAAATAAAACACTTTATTCTTCCTTTTCCAAACATATGGGTCCTTTGCTTAAATTTTTAACTGAGAAAGAAAAAAACTGGATCTTTCTCTTTTAAAAGATTAAAAGCTACCAAGCTTGCCTAGCTCCTTTTGACATATAAAGACATACAGTGACATAAATTTTATTTATAAGTTCAACAAACATAGATCAGGTGAGTGTGTTCCACATGTCAAAGCAGGCCATGTCAGGGACTGAAGTTTCAGCACAAGAGGAAATCCTGTCTTAGTCTTCTGGGAGCTCAGTCTGCAAAGCGCAGGGCAGCCGCGTGGGAGAAAGCCCGTCACAGCATCTCAGTCCTGCAGGAGCCCAGAGGAAGTGGCACCTAGTGCAGCTCAGGCGTGGGCGGGGGAAGTCGGGAGATGTTTCAAAGAGAAAACGGTAGTGAGCCGAGTGCAGCTGCTGAGCAAAAGTTTGCCTGTCAAAGAGGTCAGGGAATTCCACACAGACGAGATAACACCTGCCACAGCAGAGAAACGTAGAAGCCCCAGAGAAGTTAAATGACTTGGCAAAGGCTGTTTCATGTTCTAATTACAGAGCTGGCACTTGGAGCCTAAGTTTCTTGCTAGGCAGGCTTTTTGCTCGTGTTCCTCTCAGACTGGATGTAAACGAATCCATCATTTCTAAGTGGCGCTGAAACAAGGGTCCCTGGTGCTGTATTTGGCAGTTTGAGAGATTTACTGTTGTTCGTGTGTGACCAAAGAATCACAGAAAATTCTCCCACTACCAAATTAGGTTGACTTGTCCTTGTGCTCCAAGCTCTCAGCTAGCGTCCCTCGCAGCTGCCTGACTCTCTGGCCTGGGCACTGGCTGAAGAGTCTCTCCTTGCTGTCACGGGGCGCTCCTCCTGTGTCTGAGGGAAAGAGAAGCGGGCGTGACGGCACTCAGTAGTATACGTCAAATGAGAGCCGCAAGGCTGAAGACAAAAATGAAAATGACATAGCAGAAGCAGCGCACAACAGGCAGGCTCTTCCTGCACGTACGGAAGGTGAACCTAGAGGTCGCGCGGGAACAAGAATTGTGGGAAAGCGGTAAATACCGTATAGGAAGCCATTATAAGTGACGGCTGATCTGCTGAAATTGAAATTAGAGATAAGCACCATGATCTTGACAAAATATGTAACATGATGTAGAAGATGAAGCACTGTGCTATTGTAACCCCCAAACTCACCTAGATGCCTGGGTAAAGATACAATGCTCTTTCAAACCTGACATTTAAATCAGTATCTGTGTTTTGCCAAACTCTGTATTAAGCAATAGACACTAAATGAAAAAATGAAGGGTTATAACTAAACTCCCTTGTTCACCTGATCGTGAGACATTTCATCAACTTGAGAAAAAGGCAACATTTCCTTGAATATTCTTCCACTGCTGCTCACTCTCTCTCCTACTCTGCAGAGCCCTCTCTGTTCCCCAGAGCCTCATAATCTTTTCCTGCAACGCCAGGTGCCCTACTTTAGACCCTGTGCAGGTGTGTGCCAAGATTCGCAAGGGAGGAACTTACTTCTTGCATCACACACAAAGCTAGGGGTGACTCCTAGTCTGCCTAACTCTGGAGCAGCCCTTTGCCTATATTCACAGCCCTCGAAATGTCTCCAGGCCCACAAGTGGCTGACAGAAATGTTATATATTGCAAAAATAATAGTAATAATAATAATAATAATGTCTTAACTGAATTTTTATTGCTATGACAGGTAATGCAATAAAATTACCAGAAATTACATGTAGATGTAGTGAGGATATATTGGGGAGAGGAGGTGGCTGATACATATTTCTAAACTCACTGCAAATAATTTATTTTCCTGTGAGATCAGGAACTTTTTGTTCAAACTTACCTTTACTTTTAATTTTTGTTCCTTTCACTTTTTATTAGAGCAGCCAATTTATACAAAGGCGTGTTTGCCTTAACCAAATTTGTATAGACAGTTGAAGTCAAGTAAATATAGGCACCTTACAAGAAAAGTCCATATCCTAATCACCAGAAAGCTTGAACATAACCTTTTTTGGTTAAAGAGTCTTTGCAAATATAATGAAGTTTAATATTTTGTAGTATGGGCACCATCTTGAATTAGGCAAGTGTTCCTAAGAGAGACACACAGAGAAAACAGATACAGAGAAGAAATTTTTGTGAAGATGGCTTTCAGAGACTGGAATTAAACGGCCACAAGCCAAGGTATCTGGTATTCACCAGAAAGCAGAAAAAGCAAGGGGAGAATTTCTCCCTACAACCTCCAGAAGGGGTGCAGCACTATCAACTCCTCATTTCAGACTGCTGGACTCTGAAATTTTAAGAAAAAAATGTTTGTTATTTTAGACTACCAAGTTGGTAGTAATTTGTTAAAGCAGCCACAAAATGTCTTTAGAAATATGAAATGCAGTCTATTTAGACCCCCTTGGTTAATAATTATTTAAAATTGCTTTTCTGTTACTGTCAGTAGGGAAAGTAATCCGCTCTGGATCTCTGAAGAGACTCAATGCATTCAGCTCAAACCTTTCTCCCCTTCGACAATGGCTATAACTCCTTTCTTAGCATTAGTTATAATGACTATCATGTACAAAGTCCTCTAAATACACAC